CGGGGTGGGAACGGCAGGCTGCCGGGAGAGCTGAGTGAGGAGGCTTTCGGTGCCAGAACGGGACGAATGTCAGGCTCTTCTCCGAGGACCGTGGTCTCCCTCGTGGGCCAGGGTCTCCACTGCCACTGGGCTCCAAGACTTCAAACCTAAAGGGACCCCAAGGCCCCTGTGAGAACTTGGTGATTCTTGCTAATTTGTTACATTCTGTTTCTCTTTCCTCTGGTCCCCCTCTCTTCTGATGTCATTTGCCCCTCGCATGTGGTTAACCCATTTCTGTGTCTTGGGGAGAGGTGAGCAGCTGCCAGCCCTTAGGCCTAGGCTGTTGAGGTGTCGGGGCTGTTGGCAGACAGCTAGGCTGGCTTTGGGGGTGTCAGACAGAGGAGGAGGGAGGAGAGCTGAGCTGGAGGAGAGAACTTCCTCTGGGCCTCTGAGCCCAGGGCAGTCCCTTCCCTCCACAGCCCCCACTCTCCAAGCCTCGAGTAGGCGAGGGAGCTGGGTACGCAGTAACTTGTGACGCCGGCCCTTCTAGGAGTCCTATGCCAACGTGAAGCAGTGGCTACAGGAGATTGACCGCTACGCCAGCGAGAACGTCAATAAGCTCCTGGTGGGCAACAAGAGCGACCTCACCACCAAGAAAGTGGTGGATAACACCACAGCCAAGGTGAGCGGGCCTAGGCCAGGCCCCTGGAGGTGGAGGTAGGGGGGCTGGGGCTGACTGCCTCTCACCCTCCCTCCCCTCCTTTTCTCTCCTTTTCCCTTGTCAGGAGTTTGCAGACTCTCTGGGCATCCCCTTCCTGGAGACGAGTGCCAAGAATGCTACCAACGTGGAGCAGGCGTTCATGACCATGGCTGCTGAAATCAAGAAGCGGATGGGGCCTGGGGCCGCCTCGGGGGGTGAGCGGCCCAACCTCAAGATCGACAGCACCCCTGTGAAGCAAGCTGGTGGCGGCTGTTGCTAGGAGGGGCACGTAGTATGGGAAAGGAGGGGGCACCTTCTCCAGATGATGCCCCTGGAGGGGGCAGGAAATGCCCCCTCTCCTGGGGCATTTGAGTCTGTGGCTTTGGGGTGTCCTGGGCTCCCCATTTCCCTCTGGCCCATCTGCCTGCTATCCTGTGAGCCTCGGTTCTGACAGGGCCCCCAAGGGAGGACACCCAGGACCTGTGGCTGGGGTGGGGGCAGGGGCTTGCTCTGCTGCTGGCTCTAGGTGACTTTAAAAGATGCCCCACTGTACACCTTTCTTTGGGATGAGGGCTCCTCTGTCCGTCCCCCTCCCTCTGCCCCCCATGTATGCTGCAGCAGGTTTCTCTCTTTATCCTTCTTCCTTCTCTCCCCCACCCCACCCCCCTTCCTCAAGAGCTGAGGGCCTCCCTCACCTCTCCTGCCTCTGGCTGGAGTCAGCACCCAGGGCCAGGAAAGTGACCAGGGGATCCAGGACCTGGGATCCAGGGCCCTGGGCCAGACCTCAGGACAGGACAGGGGCTGCAGGAGGCCTGCAGCCCACCCTTTCCCCCGCCCTGCCTCTCCTCCCACCCCTCCCACACTCACAGTTCCAGCCGTCCAGCTGCGGTGGGGTCTGAGCTCATCTCGGGCAGGTGGGCGGGCAGCCGAGCTGGGCCTGTGTCTTGTGCCCAGAGGGAGCCTGTTCCTGCCGCCCCCTGCCCTGCCAGAGCCAGGCCCATGTGCTGCCTGCCCACCGTGCCCCTTTGTCCCCAAGGCAGGCGGAGGTGGAAGGCACACTGTGCCAGGGGCCGGGCACCAGCCTTAACCCTCACGCTGCCAGCACCTCTTCCCTTCTGCTGAGGCAGCACATCTGGCTTCCTGTCCCCCTTCCCTGGAGCCTACGAGGTGGATCCTCAGGCCCTGTTGCTGCTTCTCCTCTAGGGAGTGTTGATGCAGCCCAGGGTTGGGGGCCTCTGCCAGCCCCTCCCACCCAGGATCCTGGCCCCTGGCCCTCTGGCACAGCTTCTTCCTGCAAAAAAACCTTTGGTCTCTATATGAGAAGCCATGTCCCTTGTGCTGTCTCACCTGTCCCACCTGTCCCATGCCTTCCAGCTTGTATTTAAGTCCCTGGGTTGCCTTTTGTGGTGCCCCACCCACTCCCAGGTTCCCCTATGGTGTCATGTCAGGCATTTTGCAAGGAAAAGCCACTTGGGGAAAAAACAGGACAAAAAAAAAATAAATTTCCACTGGCCCCCGGGTGAGCCGCGGGTTTTTGCAAGGACGTTGTGGCTGCTGGTCGAGGTCTGTGGTGGGAGCCTCCTGGGGTGGGGTTTGGGACTGGGGCCTTGGGGTCAGCGGCCTGCATGGGGGTCTTGGCTCGGACTGTGTCCAAAAGGTGCTGTAGAAAGCCCTTGACCCACTTCCTGAAGCCAAGAGAGCTGCCTGCTTGTGCTTCTGTGGTCTGTCCCCAAGGGTCCCAGCATGATTCCAGCAGGGAAGGAGGCAGGCAGGCTTCCCCTAGCAAGTGCCTGGTCAACACTAACACCCACACAGGCACACCCGACGTGAAGTTGGGGAGCAGCCGGGGCCGCAGGCACTGCCCCGTTGGGCCTGGCCCACATGCCCTCCAGCCCTCTGGTTCAACCCCCTGTCACCGTCACTGGGTACAAGCCAGCTGTTTTTGCCCCTTTGGGCAGTGACAAATGCTTTGCACTTAAGACCTCTTGCGGTCCCCTGCCTGTGGGTGAGTGAGGATGCCAAGTGAGAGCAGGGTTGTGTGTGTAGGTCGAGTGGACCTAGTGTGACTGCGGCTTTGGTGGGTTCATGGTATGACGCGGTGGGCAGATGGAGGGGCGGACATGCCTACTTGTCAGTGAGGTACACCCGGGTCGGGTTTGCGGCCGGGCTCACGGAGACCCAGCCCCGCCCGAGGCCACTCGCACACGGTCCCGCCCTAGGCTCCGCCCCACCGGCTTCGCGGGCTGGAGAGAGGGATCCACGGGCGAGGGATCGCAGGATGAGCGATCGGGGCCCGGGCAGTCGGCAGCGGACGCGCCGCCCGAGCCCACCGGCCCGCGCCCTGTGGCCCCGCGGTCCCGGTCCCGGCCACACCGCCAGCGTCTCCCCAACCCACGCCCGAGCCCTGTGGGCCATGCCCGGCCGGCCCTAAGTGCGGGCCGCGGGGGGGCGTCCCCTTGCGCCCGGGCCCGCGCTGGCGCCCCCCGGGCTGCCGTCCGGCGTGGGGGCCATGGCGTTCACCTTCGCCGCGTTCTGCTACATGCTCACCCTGGTGCTGTGCGCCTCCCTCATCTTCTTTGTCATCTGGCACGTAAGGCTGGGGCTGGGGGCGGGGTGGGTGGCAGGGGGCTCACGGAGCGGGAGGGAACCAGGTGGATGATGGTCTGAGGGCCCCGGGAAACTTGGAGACTCCTTTCCGCTCTCCCCTGTCGGACTGGCTTTTGTTGGCCCCCATTAACATCCCCATTATCGGCTCCCAGGGGGCCCCCCTTCCTTGGCTACCCCCGCCTCTGTCGGTATGTTAGCTGGTCCCTGACTTCCTTCCCCTGCCCCAAGCAGCCCTGGGGTGTGGGGCAGAATGCTGGGATCCTTGCCTCTTTCTGCACATTACCCCCCAACCATCCAGTTGCTCCCATTTTTGTTGGGCAGTTTGTCTGTCTGCCCCCTCCTCCTTTGTGGGTTTTTCCAGCTGGAGTGATGGAACCGGTTACTATGGCAACTGCATCTGTTTACAGGACCCACAGATCAAGGAGCCCATTAACCCTTTCCCTTTCCATCCCCCTCCCTGACCCAGCAGCCGTTGGCTCTAAGCAGCCCCAGAGACCTGGCCCCCACCACCAGCTCACCTTGGGTTTCCCTACCCCTCCTGTCAGGGCTTTCCCCCACCAAGTTTCCTCCCCACCTTCCAGCTTCCCTCCTCTTCCTGCCCCCGCTTTCCCCTTTGTCTGGTGTTCCCTGTGGTTCGTCTCTCAGTCTGGCCTGGCCCCACACCTGGCCCTTGAGAATCTTCATTTCTCCTTTATCCTGCTCTCTCCCTCTCTGGGGCCCTCTCAGCAGTGCCCCTGCCTGGCTCCCTTCCTGTCACTACAGGAACTATCCATCGGCCTTCAGCTCACTGTTTGGGGCCTGGGGCCCCCGCTTCACTGCCTCCCTCCTCTGCCCCTCCTCGACCCCCCCCCCATTGCCTCCACACACCTGGCCCATGTCCCCACTCGGCCCTGGCCCACTCAGCTGGGCGTCCCCTGCTCGCACTTGCAGTACATGCCGCTCCAGGCTTCCCCTCTGGGGGGTCGGCCCTATGCCCACCCTTCCTTCCAGCTTGCCTGCCTTCTCACTGCCCCCCCATTGCCTCACCTGCTCCTTTCGTGGTCTCCCCACTTCCTCTCTCCTTTCTTTTCCTGGGACCAGCTGCCTGCGTGCTTGGTGGGCCTCGCCAGCTCTTGACCAGTCTCCCCTTCTCCATCCTCTGCTGCCCCCGCTACCTGACTGTTACATCAGGACTCCATGCACCTGGACCATCTCTCGTGAGTCCGAGAGAGACTCGGAGTGAACCCCCACAGGCACCTTCACCCCCTACCTCACATCTCCAGCTCTCTCTCTCCCTGACTTCGGCTCTTTCGACCACCTTTCCTTTTCTCTCCTCTTCTGTTCTCTTTCCTCCCCTCCATTCCCCCGGGTCTACCTGGATCTCTCTGAGACTCCTATCTCATCTGGGCCTTCGGCAGCCCTGTGAAGTAGGAGCAGGAGGGCTGGGGTCCTGAGAATGGGAAGGATGAGGCTGGGAACATAGAATTAACCAGCTCCTGGAATTCAAGAAGCCCCTCCCCACCCGGGGCCTCCCGCAGCCCCTAAGTGCAGCGGGGCTGGGGAGTCCTGTCCCTAGGGTATCCTCAGAGAAGTCTTCTATCCAACTAACTTGTATCCATGCTTCCTGAGATTCAGCTCTGGGTGGCTTTGGGGAAATCAAGGATGAAGAAGAATCATGCTTTGCCCTTCTGGGGTTCTCAAACTGGGAGAAGGGCTCAAGCTTCCACAACAAATATTTACTGAGCACCTACTACATGCCAGGCACTGTTGGCTCAGCTCTCTAGCTGGGTGATCTTAGCAAGTCCCTTACCCTGAGTTTGTTTCCTCACTGGTAAACTGAGCTTTGGTGGGTGCATCACAGGGCCCAGAGCAGGGCCTGCTCTGGGAATGTGGTGGGGGGCAAGGGGTGTGGTCCTCAATCCAAATTGGTAAGAGCTAGAACCTTCTAGGGCAGGACCCCAGATCCCACCCCACATCCTGAGCCCTGGCCCACTGGTCGCTAGGCAACCCTGATGGTGAGTGACGCGTGTCAGCTGTCACCGTGGGGGATTGTTTGTTCCAGGGGGCTGAGTCAGCACCAGGCAGCCTGAGGGGTGGGAGGCGAGACACCCGCCTCCTGCTGGTGGCGCCTGCTCTGGGGCAGACAGACAGCACCCTTCCATTCCCTGCTGGACCCTGTTGCTGTGCCTAGCAGGCAGGTGGCTGCCCAGAGTCAGCAGGGAGTTGGGGGTGCTGCTCCAGATGGCCCCAGCTCCCTCCAGGAAGCCCATGTTCTCTCCCTCCCAGCTGTCTGTGTCTGGGCTGCCTGGGTGTGGTGGGCCTGCTGCCTCATCCCAGGGCTGCCGCTGAGGGGAGGGGACCCTCTGCCAGCCCTCCTCCCATGCCAGCTCCCCGAGACCTGTCAGTCACCCCCTCAAACACCTTCTCCCCCACACTCCCCTCCCCATGGAGGACACTGCCCCACAGGTGCTCCAACACCCAAAGGTACCTTGGGCCCCTGCCTCCCCTCCACTGCTATTCAAGCCCACCGGAGTCCGGCCACACCTGCACATCCCCACCGCCACTGTCCTCACTCAGGTCTCTGTCGACGCCAAGCACCCCGACAGTCCCCTCACTGGTCTGAATTAGAATCCTGGCTTGCCACTGACTAGCCGTGTGCCCTCGCACCACTCACGTAACCTCTCTGTCTCAATTTCCTCATTTGCAAAATGGAAATGGTCACACCAGCACCTGCATCATGAGGTTGTTGCCATCATTAAACGAGCTCGAGAATATAGAGCCTGCTGACGGAGCGGAAGCATCGTGGACGTCTTGGCTGGAACAGTTAGCCAGTCTGTACTTCCTGCCCCGTCAGTTCTAGAGCATCAACCGGACCACCCCCCTCTGTTGCTTCCCGCCCCTCCTTGGTTCTCCCTTCTTTTTTAGGTTTAAGTCCAAACTCTAGCCACTGGCCCCATCTCACAGGGCACCCCTGTCTGGCTCTGTTGGCCCCTCAGCCCACCCCACACCATCTTCCTTCCCACTCACCTCACGCTTTCACTGTAGCCCCATGGAATCTGCAGCTTCCTGGACATCCTTTCAGCCCTCTGCCCTTGGACCTGCTGTTCCTGCTTCTCAGTCCCCCAGTTTGCTCAGCAAACACCTATTCGGAGCCAGAATCCCACATCACCTGCACACTGGGTCAGGCACCCACGTCAGGTTCTCCCTGTGCCCTGCCACTCTGAACGCCGTGGAATGTAGTCACAGTTCTCCCAAGTCTGGGGTTTCACATGGCAGGGGCCGTGTCCAGGCCGTTTGGGGTCCCGGTGCTCAGCACAGGGCTTGGCGAAGAAGACACCATCTCTTGGGGTGTTTTGGACGGAGCATGATGGACATTGCCTGCTGGGTATCACTAGTGCCAGGCTGTTGTGTAACCTTGGGCCAGGCCCCGCGCCTCCCTGGGCCTCAGTTTCCCCATCTTTGCAGCAAGCTCCATCTGGTCTGGTCTCCGTGTGTTAATTACTCTACCGCAGAAGGGCAGGCGCGGGGTGTAAGCCGCTGCCCCAGCCCTGACAGGCACACGCCCCTCCCCCAGATCATAGCCTTTGACGAGCTGCGGACTGACTTCAAGAACCCCATCGACCAGGGGAACCCAGCGCGGGCAGTAAGTGATACATGTGCTGTGCCGAGAGGTGTGTCCGTCTGTCTGTCTTTCCATTTGTCTAGGGATAAGGGAGGGTGGAACTAGAAGACGGGTGTGTGTGGAGGGGAAGGGGGACGGGAGACCTTGCCCCTTCTTCTGTCTGTCCCCACCCCCAGAAAACACCTGGCGCGGCTCCGGGCTCGGGTTTCTTGTGGCGGGGCAGCCGTTGCCAGGCTCTGGGCCGTTGCCGTGGAGACGTGGGTGAAGGTCCCTCCGTGGTGACGGTTGTCATGGGGACGGTGGGGCTGCTTCCCCGCTGTGCCGGCGGCGCCGCAGACTGCTCTGGCGCCCCCTGGCGGCCACGTGCGGAGTGGTGCCGGAGCAAGAGAGGGTGGAGGGGCATCCCCAAGGCCTGCTTCCCCAACTCCTCCATCCCCATCTCGGGTTTTTTTCTCCCCCTACAGCGCGAGCGTTTAAAAAACATCGAACGCATCTGCTGCCTCCTGAGGAAGGTCAGTTTCAGGGTTGGGGGCAGAAGGCTCCTAGCCCAACTCGGCCCCACTTTCTGGGATCTTCCCTCCTGAAGCTTGTTTGATTGGCTCTGCTACTGGGAGGGAGGCAGGAGTCCTTTTAGTTCCCAGCGGTCCCCGTGGCTGGGCCACTTCCAAATCTCAGCTCCCCTCTGTGCCCCTGAAACTTGGGTCTGTCCTGGCACCAGGCCACTGATCTCTTACCTTTGCTCCTCAGCTGGTGGTCCCTGAATATTCCATCCACGGCCTCTTCTGTCTGATGTTTTTGTGTGCAGCAGAGTGGGTGACCCTGGGCCTCAATATCCCCCTCCTCTTCTACCACCTCTGGAGGTGAGGGAAGCAGCCGCCTCAGGGAGGGTGAGGTGGGAGAGCAGGGATAGGGAGGGGTGGGAGCCCTGTGGACCAGCACTCAGGCCCCTCCCTGGCCTCAGGTACTTCCACCGCCCTGCGGACGGCTCCGAGGTCATGTATGACGCGGTCTCCATCATGAACGCCGACATCCTCAACTACTGCCAGAAGGAGTCCTGGTGCAAACTCGCCTTCTACCTGCTCTCCTTCTTCTATTACCTGTACAGGTGAGGCCCTGCCCACAGCGGTCCAGTCAGGGAAGGGATGCTCTGGGACCCATGCCTTCAGTCCCAGGAATGGTTGGGCTCCAAGTTCTTACCCTTTGCCCTTGAGGACTGAGAGCAACCCAGGGTGTGATGGGCTGGGCAGCCAGTAGCTGGGCCTGCTCAGGTTTCAGCTTACTGCTTCACCTGTTTTCCCACAGTATGGTTTATACGCTGGTGAGTTTCTAAGGGGGAAGCCGGCCAGGCCAGGGAGCGAGCCCAGAACGGACCGGACGCCTGTGCACCCCCAGCCCTGCCCCTCGGCCGCAGAGGCCTCAGCCCTGGGGAGGGAGGGGGCACTGGTGCCCCCAGCCTCCTCTCCACCCCCCCCAAACTGCTGCTGCGGGGATCTCCCCGCCTTCAGAGCCCCCTCCCCTTGGACTAGGGTTGGGCAGAGCTCTAAACAGGGGCTGGAGCTCCTCTGCCAGCCTGTTGGCATGGCAGTCTGTCCTGGAAGGGGTGGACCTTCTGGCCTCATCCATTTCGGGGGGACCCTGGGCCCTGCCGAGGGGCAGGGCTTGACCCTGGAAGTTCCAGGCCAGCCCCCTCAACCCCCACCCTGAGGCTCCCCCTGCAGGTGGGGGGGTACCCGCACCCAGAATGAGCAGGCTCAGCAGGGGGGCAGCCCCACTCCTAGTCTGCCCTCTCCCCTCCCCAGGCTCTCCTTTCAGACTCCTTCCTGTTCCCACTTGCCCCAACCCAGCCTACCCTGTCTCTTGGACCTATTTTCTATGTTGCCTGGAGGAGTCCGCACCCCCTCCCTGGCCATTTGTGACAAAATATGAATAAACTACTGCAAACACATGGGGCCCAGTTCTGCTCCCAAAAGCTTTGAAGAGGAGGTGGGGCAAAGGTGCTGTATAAGGGACAGCCCTGAGCTAAACTCCCAGCATGGCTAGGCTCGCCCCACAGCCCAGAGACCCCTCTGGGGACCCCCTCAGATGGACCAGGGGCCTTCCGGGTCTTGGCAGCTGCCTGCTGCCATCATCACTTCCCGGGATGATTGTTCCTAATGAAACCCTTCCATCTGCCTTCGAGGCAGTATTGAGGTCACCAACCCAAGAAGCCTTCCCAGGGTCCTCCTTCTTCTAAACAGTCCCAAGCCTGTTCCCCGGACACTGCAGAGGCACCAGCAACTCCCCCTCATGTCCCAGAAACAAGGGTCAAACAAATCAAGGAAATCAAATCTTCAATGTATGGAAAATTTGGTGCTGGTGGGGGCCAGGGGTCACCGGACCAGGTGGAAGGTCAGCCAGTATATGATGAGGGGCTGGAAGGCTGCCGCTCCCAGAGTCAGGTACAGTTGGAGATGCTGCCGAGGGGCCGGGTCCCCCATGCTGTCGGGACCCAGGGTTGCCGTTCGCAAAGAACGCACCTGGAACAAAGGAGGGCTGAACGTGAGCTGGGGGTTCGGGGAGAGGGGGAGGCTCATCCTAGCTCCGACCCGGGAAAGCAGGGCAGGGGCAGCCTGGACTCACAGTGAAGTACATGAGTGCAGACGACATCCAGGCCAGCGCCACATAGTAGCCATCACTGCCGAAGAGCAGCCCTGTGAGCACACTGAGGATCATCCTGCACGGAGCGGGAGGAGAAGGCTGGAGGCCACCCCAGAAGTCCAGGCCTGAGACTGGCCCCCGCCCCAGCCAGAGCCCAGCACAGACCCCACCCACAATCACCCAGGACCTTTACCCCCAGTCTGTCCCCACAACCTCCTCTACTCCAAATGAGTCTGGAAGGCCTAGGACCGGGATCTGAGACCCCCTTCACTACCCCAGCTCGAAGCTCTTTTCCCTAGTATTCCCACGGCGACTCCACATCCCCGACCTCCTGACACCACACGGTTCCTGAGGATGCTGCCCGAAACAGCTGGCTCCTCTGTAACAGAGGGACTAGAGGCCGAGACAGGGGCAGAGGCGCATCCAGGGTCACCGTTCCAGGTTGCCGCTACGCCGCAGGTGGGCCAGGCACCTAGGGCCACAGACTCCCCCCCCCCCCCCCCAGGCCTGCCTTCCGCCTGGCTCCCAGGTGCTCACCCGACGTATTTGTAGCCGCTGTAGGCCAGCAGGTGGAAGGTGCTCAGGTCACTGCGCACGGTAGCCAGGTAGACACCCAGGAGCAGAGCAAGTACCTCCAGCACGACCCACACCAGGGCTGTGCTTGCGCACAGGCCCAGCACCTCTGGGGAGAACCTGTGGCCATTGGGGAGGAGCAGGGGACTGAGAACCAGCTACCCTGTGCAGAGGTGAGACTGGGGACTGGGAGTGGGCTTGGGACCTGGCACAGATCCTCTCGGGTGCTGAGAAGGGATGGGGAGGGGCTTGGCACTGACCTTTTCTGAATGCCCAGTGCCATCCCAGCCAGCAACACATAGGTGATGAATGCCATTGCTGCCGAGAGCCAGAGAGATGCTGTCAGCCCAGTCTCCCCACCCCCAGCCAGGCCTTGGAGGCCACTGACCCCCCCCCGTCTACCCCTCGCACTTCCCTCCCTGCATATCCCAACCTGACCAACCTTCACACTCAGCCCCCCAGGACCCTGCCTGGGATGCCTTCCCCAGCTCAGCCCACTCCCCCTGTGTAAATGCCACTTGACCCTTCTCCCTGCACCACCAGGCTGCCTGCCTCGCTGTCCCTGTGCTAGGAAATTCACCAAAACTTCTGCTGAATCTCAGAACCTACACCACTGGTCAAGGTTATTGCTCATCCTTGACCACAGGCAGGGCCCAAACTGACCTCAAGAAAGACTAAAGGCCCCTGGAGTCCAGACCATGGGGATGACCTCACTGTAACCAGAAGTTCTCAGTCTAGGCCTTGGTGCCAGCTACAGCTCTTGACAGCCCTGCCAGTGCAGAGAGTTCCACGTTTAACCATTTTCACAAGAGCTCAGAACCTGTGGGGCCTGGCCTTTCACAGCCTGAACTCATCAGTCCTGTCCTCTGCCCCATTGAAGCACCAGAACTGATGTGCCCACCAGGGGGCAGTGTCTGGAGAAAGGAAACCAGCTCCAGCTGGTTATAAACCGTGTGGCTTCAAAGATTCACAAATCTCTGAGCCTTGGCTTCACCATATAAAATGAGAATGGCATTCCCACCGTATGCAACGGTATTAAGAGGGGAACGGAGTGAAGGAGGGAAGAAACTGCGTCCCTCCTGGGGCGACTGGGCTGGCCTGGGCCTTGCCTTGTACAGGCCATAGAACAGAGAGGCATCAGACGTAGAGTTGGCCAGCCAGGGCAAAGTGCAGGCAGCCTGACCTGTGCCATGTGGACGGGCAGCGCAGGAACTTAGAAGAAAGGGGTGTCTGAGCAGGCCTTGGAGGACAAGTAACGATGGTGACAACTACTATCTACTGTGTGCTTTTTATGGGCTGGGTGCCGTGCTGAGTGCAGGTCACCTCGCTGAGTCTCCACAACAATCCTCTGCAGTAGGGATCATTGTTACTCCCATTTTACAGAAGCACGACAGTGGCCAGCTGAGGTCCCACAGTTGGAAGGTGTAGGGCCAGTGCTCCAGGCTGGGGAGGAGCACAGTCCGAGTCAGGAGGCAGGCAGCGGTCAAAAGGGTGTACCCCAAGGCCACTGAAGGCACACCTGGGACGCTCCTTACTGGTCACCCCGCTATCTACCTGGTATCTAGCGACTGCCATACACAAAAGCACCAAGAGCAGGCGCTGAATCATCACCTGAGCCTCTCTTCGTTGGTTCCTCAAGACACCAGTTCCCCCACACACCCTGGCCCAGGCCAAAGACTCACTGGGAATATAGAGGTCAGGGGCGTTGAGGTCTTGTCGTGGGGGCAGAGGGACATCACGACTGTACTGCACTTCCCAGTTCTGGCAATGGCGGCAGCGCACAGGTCAGGTGGAAAAGACAAGAGAAGAAAGAAGGGCATTGAGGTCTGGGGGTGAGACTCTGGGGCAGGATGAGGGAGGCAAGGCGGCCTACCTGCTCACCTGGTGTGTGTAGGGGAAGACCAGTAGCCCTAGCTTCTTCGCCACATAGGCTGTGTCCACAGCGAAAAAATACTTGAGTTTGTTCACAGACACAAAACGGTGCAGCTGGAAGGGGAGAGGGGAGGCTGTGGGCGAACTGCACCCTGAACCTCGGGGTGCTCTTCTGTATGCTCCTTCCCTGAGGATTAGGTGGGATCCCATGACGCCCCAGCCTGGCCAGAAATCCTGCCACCCTTGCCCTTGGGGAGGGCCACACCTCCTTGTGCACCATGTCCTTCCCATGGGATGCGATGGAGCTGCCATAGGCCATAGCCATGTTGGCCATTGGGTCTCCACGCCAGTGGTTGACATTGAAGGCCACGTCGGCTCCTGAGGCTGGGTATCCCCCTGGCTGGCTGGAGTAACCACCGCTTGTGTCATCGAAGAGGGGAGGGGGATCCGGAGCTGCCCGGGCCCTGTGCTTGGAGCCTGTGGGTTTGTAGGTACCATAGTAGGTGAGGGGAATACTAAGCATGAGCCCAAACCACCGTCTCTTTTCCAGGGGACCTTTTTGAGTGGTGCTAAATGTAGGCAAAGAAAGAGCTGAGGCCCACCCAGGGATTGCTGGGGGCCTTCTCAAGGAAAGTGATCTCTGAACTGAGGCTTGGAGAGTGAGTAGAAGTTTGCTGGGTGGAAAATATAATTGCCAGGGCACCCCCAAATGAACGAAGGTGGGGATGGCGATAGCTGGGTACCCGAAGACCCTGGGCAGTGGTCAGGGGCCCTACCAGGGTCATGACAGGGAAAGGAAGTTCTGGAAGCGGGCTCTGTTCGTGCCTGGGTTGGGCATGGGGATCCCAGCTATGCGGTCACCGCCCGATCTTAGCCGAGAGAGCGAAGTCCGGGACGCGGGGCCGAGTCTCACCGGGCAGGAACCTGAATGACAACTGCCGCCCTGGGCTTATAGATCACGGCGGCCCCTTTCCCTCCGGGTGAGCGGGCCGTGCCACCGACTCTCCTCAGGCGGGTTGGGCCGTGCCCCGCCCGCCCCACGCACCGTGAGCTCCGTAGCCCGAATGATAAGCCATGGCCGCGACGCTCGCTCTCTCGGAGGACCCGCTGCGCCGCCTCGTGGGTACGAACACTAATGAAGCAGCCGCTCCGCTCGCTGGTTACCGACAGAGGTTACGGAGTAGCCAGACACGTATCCCAACTGTGCCACCGCCACTGCCATTTCTGTAACGTCATCCTACGCCGCCTGCCATTGGCTCCTCGGTGGCGACAACTCGTCCCAATTGGCTACTGGCGCTCCATCGCCGAAGCCGATTTGGTGGTATTCAACTTCCGGGAGGCAGGATAGGCGGAGCAATTTGAGGCGCTCTGGGATTGGATAGTGGATTTTCCGGTTAGGCGGGAGCGGCCAATAGATAGGTTAAGGTAGAAGGTGCTGAGAATTACTTCCGCGCCTGCGCAGTGGGACACTTGATGCTACTCTTGCCACGACTACACCAGGCAGAGAACTGGCGGAGACGTGGCCTAGGTTGGCGGCGGGGGCAGCTGCGTTCTGGTAACCAAGCTTCACTCGCGGCACGTACTCCAGAAGGGTCGTGGGCGGTGGGCCCTGACCAAGTTCTGCCCCTCTAGTCTTTTGCCCCTCTCCCAATGCTTGCTTCCCTTCCTCTTCCCGTACAGTCCCCCAAGTCCTGGCATGGAGCCCGGACTTCCCAGAAGGTGTTGGTAGGAGCCCGAGCGGCACTGTGAGTGACAACGCAATCCGGTTTGTCCCAGGATGCTGACTCCTCCTCCCGCCTCCCACCCCTCCTTTCCGCTCGGGTGCTGTCCTTCGTCCGGTGCTGAAATACTCTACCGCCACTGCCACCATCCTGCAGATCCTGGGGCCTGCTGCTGGAAGGCCCTGGGCTCTCGGTCCACACAAACACCATTATACGTTTTGAAAAATCGGAGTCCAGAATATCTGAAGTCCCAGAGTTTGTGTGGTATAGTTAAGCTAAGACCCTGACCAGGGCCCCTCCCATGGTCCCGAGGATTTGGAGATAGAGAGGCTGATCCGCCCCTGAAGCTGTGGTCGAAACACTTGAGTCATTGCTGGCCTTGCGGTCAACTGGAATTGAGATCTCCCCCAGTCTCACTCGTGATTCCGGGGGCTCCTTTTCCCCCACCCAGTTTCTGACCTTTCTCACCCTCCGCAGGGATAGTCCCCAGACGCCAATCTTCTCACCTTCAGACACCACATTCTAAAGAGCAAGATCAGGTCCTCTGTGACCTGCTTCTAGTTAGCTACCCAGTGTCCAGTTACATCAGGTGACCTTCCTGCACTTCAAACTCAACCCACGTGGTCCAGTCTCAGTGCCTTTGACCAGAAGTCCCCTCCACCTGGAATGCCCTTCTCCCTCCTTTTCACTTGTCCAAAGCCTAGCTGTCCTTTGTCCTCTCAGCCAAAGGGAACACCCTATCTTGGCCTGGGATGGAGGTTGATGGCCAAGTTCTAGGCTCCCTCTGGGTGCACGAGTTTGCCCTGGATGTAACTTCCTTGCTGCCATTCTCCAATCTTACTCTTCACAGTGCCAAGCACAGTATTTGCATATAGAAGACACCCAATAAACATCTGTGCCAATAAATAAATAACGAATGGATGAAACCCCGAGTCAGTCCTTTCTCTCTCTACATTTCAATACCTCATCTTTAAATGGGCAGGGGTGTGGAAATGAATGGCCTTAGAGTAACCCTTTGGGGGAGGGGGGAACACAACCCACCAGCACTGTAGCTCCCTGTGTTCCATACACTGATTGTCTAGCTTGAGCCCTAGGCCCCAGACCCAGGGGAGGTGTGAGGCCCACCCCTGGGGGCCAGGGAACAGCACACGGGCCACCGGTACCTGGAAGGGGGTCCTCCCATGCAGGACAGTTCCTTCCCTCCCCCACCCCTATCTATGACAAACGTTTGGGCATTGATTGAATCTAGCACCTTTCCATCCCCATTCCTCAGGTGGAGTAACCGAGGTTGTGGGTGGAGAGTGCCCTGCCAAGGTCACAGCCTAGGGCCCTGGGACCCACCGCACTGGCTCTAAGTGGAACTCAGAGCTGCTGTCCCGCTAATGAAGCTCATTACATCTTTCTCGGCTGTAACTGACTCCTCTCTTATATACGAGGCTTCCCGGATGGGGTCTAGGTGGGCTTAGGCTTGGGCCTGCTTCTCAGAAGTACCCATCCACCTTGGAGATTTCCCTTCCTCGTTTTGCAGCAGGAGAAGCTCAGGCACTGGAGAGCAAAATTCGCCCAGGGTTGCTAGCAAGCGCAGCAGGAGGAGAACCCAGGAGTCCGTTCGCCCAGCCTGGAATTCTTGGGGGCTGGGGCAGCGCCCTCGGTACCAGGCGCTGCTGGCGGCCCCGCCGGTGCCGCGAGGGCGGGGTCAGCAGCGGGCGGGGCGCCGGGCATCGAGGCCGCCAACGCCGCCGCCGCGCTCTGGAGAGCTCGGCGCACTCCCTCTGCGGCCGCTGAGCCGAGCTGACGCCCGCCAGGGCCCTGCTGCAGCCCTCCGCTCTCCCCTCTATCATGCCCGGGGCCCGGGCCTGGGCCGCCCAAACAGCCAGGACAACATGCCCGAGGGCTGCGATGGCGACGGCGGGGAGGTGCCCGCGCTCATCCCAGACAGCGAGCCGCTGCGGGAAGAGGTACAGGTTCTGAGTGGTAGAAGGCACGGGGGCGCGGGGTTGGCGGGGGTTGGTGCAGGAGCCTGGGCCGCAGCGGGAAAGAGGGACAAGGGAAGGGGCGAATCACGGAATGGAGGCTGAGGTAGGAAGTCCCCGAGCCACTGTGGCCAATGACGTCATTGAGGTGGCTTGCGTCCTGTGAGGGGTCCTGGAGGCTCAGGGACCCGCGTGGGTGCAGGGATGGGGCAGCTGGGAAAGGATGTGGGGGGTGACCCCCCCCCGTCTCCGTCCGCGCCCCCTCTTCCAGCCTCTCCCTCTTGTGACGTCAGCGCCTGGCCCCTAGTGTCCCCATTCCGCAGCGCTGCCCCTCACCCCCAGGGCCCGGAGGTCAGGCCCCTTAGCCTGTCCTGGAAGCTCACAAGGTGCCCGGGTGGAGCCTGCAATGCAGCAGCAGTAGCACAGACTTGGGGGGGGGGGGGGCGGGTAGTGGAGGGAGGACAGGAAAGAGGAAGGAGGGATGCCTTGGTGCCCCTGCTCCCTCTCCCAGCTGTGAGGCCCTAGGGCCCATCCTCCTGCTTGGGACCCCCATGATGGCCCCTCCTCAGCCCTAGCTAGGAACAGGATCTGCAGGGGTGTGGGGCCCAGTGTGGGATGCTGGGGGGATAAGTGATGAGGGGTCTATGCATGTGCCCGTGGGTGCGTGAATGTGGTGCATGCTCCCAGCACCTCGGGGAGGACACACGGATGGGCCCAAGTCAGGCGAGGGTCTGAGGGGCTCCTTGGCTTGGGTTAAAGTGGTAATGTGAGTGTCCTGACGTGGGTGGTCTCTCCTGTAGATTCTGCAGGGTGTGGGTGTCAGGTTGCAGTGGGGGTGGGGGCGGGGGATATGCCCTGGGGTAAGGTGAGGGTCTGGCATGTCCCTGGGCTTCAGGGGATGTGTGATGTGTATGTGCATGTGCGTGCCCAGTGTGCACGTGTGTGCACAGGCATCTGCACCCAATGCTATGGCATGGGGACAAGGGCTGTGCCTGGCACAGATGAGGGCCCCGAGTGTCAGGGATGGACAGGCGGCATGCAGGGCTGTGGCGGGTGGGTTTGTGCGGGCACGTGGGATGAAGGTGTTTGCATGCATGGGTGTGTGCGTCGGCCTGGCCCGGCAGCTCAGGGTGGCAACGTGCGCCTGTGGTGGGTGAGGGTGATGTGGGGGAAGGGCAGGCTGCCCTGGGCTGGGATGGGGGCGGCCCTTCTCCTCTTGGGTCTCTCAAGGCCTGGTGGGGCTGGGTGGGAGGGATGGCTCCCACCCTCTAACGCCACCTTTGCTATTTCTACCAGACCACCTCTCCCTTCTCCCCTTTTTTCTTCTCCCTTCCCACTGCCCCTTCTCTTTCCATAGACACTTTGGGGATGAGGTGGAGGCAAGCTGGCAGCCCTTAAGGAAGGGTGGGCCCAACTCTCTGGGCCGGGCAATAGCCCAAGCTGCCCAGCAGCTGTGTCCCACCCTCTCCCTCAGCACAGATGGGGAGTGGAGGCCGGCACTCCATCTGCTCCCCCGAGACTCACACCTCCCTCGCTCCCAGCTCTTCTTCCTCTTTCTCACTTCCTTAAAAACCTCTCCCAAGTCTCCTGCTGTCCCTAGAGGAACTACGGGGAACAGTGATCATATTTATTCCCATGACCAGACCCTGTGCTGAGATCCTCACACTTATGATCTTGTTGAATCCTCTTAACAGCCCCAGTTTACAGATGAGGAAACTGAGGTCCAGAGAGGATGAGGGACCTGCCCAAGTCATACAGTAAGTGGTGGAGCCAGCACTGGGTCCTGGGCAGCCAGGCTCCAAAGCCCGTGCTCTTTACCCTTCTAGGACCCCGGCCACCCTGTCCTCCCATACCACTAGGTCTAGGAGTTGAGGCCCAGAGAGGGCAGGGGCAGGACCAGGACCACACAGCAAGTCTGGGGCAGAGCCAGGAGCAGAACTCAGCTTTCTCAATGGCCGGGGGTTCTTCCTTCTCTTGGCACAGATGGATCTGTGGTCCTAGATGCCCTTGACTGGGAAATGACAGGGCACAGTGGAGCGCAGGCTAGGGGTAGATAGGCTGAGGTTTGAATACTGCAGCTCTGCTGTGAGTTCGCTGGAAGGGTGGGGCCCCAAGTGCGTGATTCAATCTCTCAGAGCCTCAGTTTCCCATCTGTGGAGTGGGGAGTGTAGGGCCTTAAGCGGAGTGGCAGGCACAAGTGATAGCCAGCCCTGACCTTGCCTCCCTCTCTGCCCGCCCTGCAGCAGCGGCCCCTGAAACAGTCCCTGGGAAGCTCCCTGTGCCACGAGTCCAACTGGAAGTGCCTGCTCCTCACGCTGCTCATCCACGCCTGCGGTGCTGTGGTGGCCTGGTGTCGGCTGGCTACCGTGCCCCGGCTGGTCCTGGGGCCAGAGGCAGCCCTGGCCCGTGGGGCTGGGGCCCCGCCGCCCACCTACCCAGCCAGCCCCTGCTCCGATGGCTATCTATACATCCCACTAGCCTTTGTCTCCCTCCTCTACCTCCTCTACCTGGCCGAGTGCTGGCACTGTCACGTGCGGTCATGCCAGGCACCGCGCACTGACGCCAACACCGTGCTTGCTCTGATCCACCGGCTGCAGCAGGCGCCGCCCTGTGTCTGGTGGAAGGCCACGAGCTACCACTACGTTCGGCGCACCCGCCAGATCACTCGCTACCGGAACGGCGACGCCTACACCACCACGCAAGTCTACCACGAGAGGGCTGACAGTCGCACCGCCCGGGGAGAGTTTGACTACTCAGCACACGGCGTCCGTGATGTCTCCAAGGAACTCGTGGGGCTGGCTGACCACGCGGCCACGCGGCTGCGCTTCACCAAGTGCTTCAGCTTCGGCAGCGCCGAGGCCGAGGCTTCGTACCTCACCCAGAGGGCCCGCTTCTTCGGCGCCAACGAGGGCCTGGACGACTACCTGGAGGCCCGCGAGGGCATGCACCTGAAGGACGTGGACTTCCGCGACTCCCTCATGGTCTTCGCCGACCCCCACAGCCCGCCCTGGTACGCCCGTGCCTGGGTCTTCTGGCTGGTGTCCGCGGCCACGCTGTCCTGGCCCCTGCGCGTGGTGGCTGCCTACGGCACCGCGCACGTGCACTACCAGGTGGAGAAGCTCTTTGGCGCCAGCTCCCCCCCACCCGGGGCCGTGCCCAGCGGGCCCCCGCTCTCCCGTGTGGCCACGGTGGACTTCACCGAGCTCGAGTGGCACATCTGCTCCAACCGGCAGCTGGTGCCCAGCTACTCGGAGGCTGTGGTCATGGGCGCCGGCTCGGGCGCCTACCTCCGTGGCTGCCAGCGCTGTCGCCGCTCCGTCAGCAGCAATTCGCTGCCGCCGGCCAGGCCCAGCGGGCCCCGCCTGCCTTTCAGCCGCAGCCGCCTCTCCCTGGGGGCCGGAGGCCGGGTCACACCCGGGGTCTTCCGGAGCCTGAGTGGGGGGCCGCTGGGGCGCCGTAGAGAGGACACAGAGCCCCTGGAGAGCCCGCCGTGCTACGAGGACGCCCTTTACTTCCCGGTGCTCATCGTCCATGGGGACAGCGGCTGCCGGGGGGACGGGCAGGGCGCGCGCTGAGGCCCCCCGGGCCCCCACCCTCCACCCAGGGCTTCGTGCCCGAGTCATCGTCGTCCAGAGCAGGAGGGAACTCAGACCAGCACACGAGGCGGGTGGGGGTGGAGCCCCTAAACAGACTAAAGTGCGGTGACTCCGGGTCATTTTGGGGGCGAACGGATACCACCAAACTTGAGTCCGGAACGTCCGGGCGTGGCTCCGCCCACCACCGCCAGGTCCCGCCCCCTGCGGTGATCTGTCTTGGGAGCTTAGGCTGGGCAGGAGAGGAAGTTTCCAGAAAGCTGAGATGGAGGAGCCCTGAGGACAGCACAGGGCCTCCTGTGGTCTTCCCCGCTCTGCTGACGCCACACTGGGAGCCCTCGGGCCGCCCGACGCACAAACTGGTGGTTCGGGGCTGTGCCAGCTGGGCTGACCTCCATGAAGCTGAAGAGCCGGTTACGGTAGCGCCACGGCCTCGGCCCCACTGCCCACCCAAAGTCCCTATCCTCTTCCCCTCACGGCCCCCCCCCCCACCTGCCCTCTGGCCTCTGCCTGGGGCCAGCCCCTGACCAGACCCTGCAGCACAGCCCCCACTGGGGGTCTGGCCGTTGGAGCACAGCCTCTCCCTGCGCCACCCTCCGCTGTTCCTGGTGTGCCCGCCCCGCATCCAGCTCCCCCTACAACCTGAGGCTTCTTCTCAGGGCCCACTTCGATCCCACATCCCCTGGTCCCCACCCAAGTCCACGTCCGCCTCTGTCAGCCACGCGCACAGCCTCTGGGCTTCGCGTGGGGACCCTTCGCTCCCCTGGATCTCCCTCTGCTCTTCACTTCCTGGTGACCCACGGGACTCAGGGCCACAGGGCATCTGAGCGGCCTCAGCCTGACAGCCTCCTGGACGATGCCCTTGCTCTGCCACGGGGGCCTCCGCCTCCCTGATCAGCCGGGTGTGGCCCAGGGGACACCAGTCCTCCGTGAGGGAGGAAAGAGTAGTCCCTTCCCTTCCAACTGGGCTTCCACCCTCTCGCAGGGACTGGGGGGGGAGGGAGGAGGCAGCGAAGACGCAGATAAAATAAAAAGGTACAAAATGGAAGGTCTTCTCATGTGCCTTCCTTAGTGGAGGGTCCGAGGCCGCCCCCACCAGCCTGGGGTCTGGGAGGGGACTCAGGGTTGGGCTCCCGCATTCCCAGGAGCAGGGAAAGCTGAGAGGAGCCTCCCTGCCAGCCCGGGGCCCCTGAGACTCAGGTTTGAGTGGCCCTGAGCCATGGACTCCAACCAACTGGCATCTGGGCCACTTCTCAGGCGTGGTCCAAGTGGCCCTCTTCCAGCCCCGTGGGGGTTCCATTCTGCCACTGGGTGTGTGGAGGACTAAGGGAGGGGTGACAGGGCCCCACGGTGGGGAGAGAGAACTGTGGGCAGTGGTGGGAGTTCAGTTGCCCTGGTGGCTATTGGTGTTAGTGATCCGGGGCAGTGGGCACAGAGCAGGTTGGAGGACAACAAGGGGCAGAGAGTGGACCCCAAGTCAGGGCAGGGCTAAGGTGGAGCCTCGCCCATGGATGAAGCTTGGGAGGCCCCTGGACGTGGCATCTTCACGTGTTCACTGTGCACGGGTGCCAGGCTGCAGGGCGCCTGTGGGGGAATCCAGCCTGTGGGCCACTCCCCAAGCCCTGGCGTGGTGCTGCATCCACTGGATAAAGGGCACCTTTTTCTAACTCATGCAAGGGCTCCGTGTGAGGACGAGCGGTGGCCCCAGAAGGGTGCTGAGGATGGGAGGGGTTCTCCCAGGCGCAGACAGGGCAAGGCGTCCTCTGTACAGGCCCCGGAGCAAGGCGCGATGAGGAGGCAGAAGCAAAGAGCCATGGAAGAGTTGGCTGAGGCCTTTGATACCTCAGCCCAGAATCGGTCCGTGAACTGGGGCAAAGGAGCCAAGAAGGTGGTTCGGCTGAGCCGGGAGGTGAGACGGTCAGGGCTGCATGTTAGGTCTCAGCCGAGGGGGTGTGGTCAGAGGCCAGAGCTTCCCCTCTGCCTCATCTCACCGCCTCACATCCCTCACTTGTGGAGTGAAGTCAATTCTTTTTTTTTCCCTAAGGATTTTATTTATTTATATTTTTACAAGATTTTTTCATTTTCTTTTTTTTAACATTTTGCTCACAGAGGGGAAGAGAAGGAGAAAGAGAGGGAGAGAGACATCCGTGTGTGGTTGCCTCTCATGTGTCCCCTACTGGGGACCTGGCCTGCAACCCAGGCATGTGCTCTGACTGGGAATTGACCCTTTGGTTTGCAGGCCAGAGCTCAATCCACTGAGCTACACCAGCCAGGGCTGAAGTCAGTTCTTTTAAAGAATCAGCTTAGATGGAAAGCTGCCTGGCACTCGGGCATTCAGGAAGGCTGAATGTGGGGGCTGATGTGCCCACTGCGCCTCCTCCCTGTGGGGACGATCTCCCCCTCCATTGGGACCTCTGACACCACAGCTGTCTAGCTGCTGACCATCCTCCTCAAAATAGACCCCCAGTGTTACCCCAGGTGGCAGTGAGCCCAGCTGAAAGGCAACATTTCTAGTCTCTTGCCCATATAGGGTGGCTTTGTGACTTAATTTTAACTTGTGAGATATAAGCAGAATGTGTTGCAAGGGATTTCTAAGAATTCTCCTTGAAATACAAACTATACTAGTAACAGCCAAGTCTATACTTTTGCCTCATCTTACATTCAGTGTGGAATGCAGATGTGGTGGTTGGAACTCCAGCAGCCTTCTTGGATTGGGAGGTGACTTTGAGAATGCTAACCAAGTGCTGAAGATAGCAGAGCATAACAATGTACCTCAAAACTTAGTGGCTTTAAAAAAAATCAATAATCATTATTGTCTCTCCTTGTCTCTGTGGGTCAAGAACTCGGACAAAGGGAACAGGGGTGGCTCAGCTCTGCCCCAGGGCATCTGGAGCCTCTGCTGAGAGACTGGAGATGGGGGTGGGATCATCCTTAGGCCCCTGGACTCGCACACCTGGCAGTGGATGCCGGCTGATGGCTGAGGACCCAGCAAGGGCCTCCCCACATGGCTTGGGCTGCCTCATAACATGGCAGCTAAGTCCTGAGGACAAACGCACCTACAGGTGGAATCTGCGTCGCCCTTCTCATTCTAGCCTCAGAAGTCACATACTTCACTCTGCTCCTTTCTATTGGTCAGGGTTATTACAAAGTTCCACCCACTTTCAAGGAAGGGGAACATGAGACCCCACATCTTACAATGTCAGCATCACATTGTAAGGTCATCATGTGGGGTGGGAGATACACAAGTGGCCGCCTTCAAACCTGCCATCGATCACTGAGCCAGGTGCCTTTCCTAACTGATCGGTATCTATAGAGTTATCTATCGGTAACTATCGGTAACTGTCTGCAAAATGAATGCCAACCTTTTATGATGCTGGTTTGAGGGATGGAGGTGGTGATGTGTCAGATGTGGGCGTCTTATTGAAGGCAGAAAGACCAGCTCTGGTCATTTTTGGAGGACCTCTGGCCTGTGGTAGATTAAATAGGGCCACAAATTCTTTGCAGCTCCTCCTCTCCAGGGGTGGAGCCCATTTCCACACTCTTTAAGTCTGGGCTAGCCTTGAGCGAGGCCGGCTTCAACCACAGAATGTGGTGGAAGGGAGGCTGTGGAACAGGTGAGGCTGGGCCTCAAGAGGCTGTGCAGCTCCTGTCTGCGCCTGTGTGGAGCCTGAGGCCACCGTGCTGTCAAGATATCCAGTCCGGCCTCCTGACAGATGAGGGGCCACACACAGGAGCACGGAGACCCCAGCCACAAGCCCGTATCAGTGTCCAGATCGGGGAGGGAGGCCTTTTGGACGTGCCGACCCCAGTGGAGCCACAGGCGGCCGCAGCCACAGGAGCAATGCCAGGCATAACCCACAGTGGATTCCAACCCAAATCACTGACCTACAGAATGTGGAGAATTAACAAATCCTCATTTTACACTACTAAGTTTTGGAGTGATTTGTTGTGTACATAATGCACAGCTGATACGAGGCCCCGGGCCCGCTTCCAGCACACGGTGGAGGGTCACTGGGCCTGCGCCCCCAGGTGGGAAAGGGAACCAGAAACCCCAGTGTCTGCTGGAGAGCTCCCATCTCCTGGTCTCCCCATGTCTCTGGTCCACATGTCCATTCTCTAAAGAGCCAACGTCCAGCTCGGATGCTCCATTCTAAACCATTCTCAAGAGGAAAATAATGCAGGAAGGGGGTGGAGCCTTGCTCCAAAATCCCAGAGGCCTCTGCCTTCACTTTCTGTTGGAAACCTGACCCAGCACGGGTGCAGCAGAACCCCGGCTCCAACCTGCACCCGGCCCGCGCCCCCCTCTGTGTTTCCCATCTCAGTGAGCAGAGCCGCCATCCCCGCAGAGGTTTAAAACAGACACCTGCATGGCAATCCTTCTTTTAAAAAAAACATATTATGCAAAATTTCAAACGTCAGAGAAGTAGAGATTGGTGTGATGAGACCCTCTGTGCCCAGCTAGAGCTGGAGCCGCCATCCGCTGTGACCACTCACGTGTGGGGGGGGCATAACTTTCCATTACCATTTAGCCCCCTGACGCCCCTCCCCCCCACAGTCCCACTTCTCCCCACTCCAAATGGTTTATTTTGAAGAATATCTAGAAGTTGTAGCATTTCATCCAAGATCATCTCCTTCACGCCCCCATGTGCAGTCGGGCCCCCCGGATTCTACCTACAACACCCCTCTCTAAACAGCCCCCGGGGCCTCTGTACCCTAAGCTGCCACACCGCCTTGTTCCAGGTCCCCTCCCCACAACTATCTCGGACTCCAAGAGGCCTCTCCATAGAGTCCCCTCCAGACTACACACAAAATCTTCTTAAAATGTTAATCAAATCACATCTGTGGCCCTGGCTGGTGCCACAGTGGATTCAGCATCAGCCTGCCAACCAAAGGGTTCGATTCCCAGTCAGGGCACATGCCTGGGTTGCAGGCCAGGTCCCCCGTGGGAGGCACATGAGAAACAACCACACTCTGATGTTTCTCTCCCTCTCTCCCTCCCTTCTCCTCTCTCTAAAAAAATAATAAATAAGTAAAATCTTTTTAAAAAATAACATCTCCCCTTCACTGAAAACACACCAGCATCTCCCACCAAACCTCACCTACAATCCAGATTCCTGCCCCAGCCCTTTGGTCCTCGTGGGACCCGGCAGACATCTGCATGCTCACCTTGAATCTGCTCTCCTTTCCTTACAAGGCCGCAGCCCAGGGGCCTTGTGCCCGATCCTGGAACAAGCCGAGCGGCTTTCCACCCCGAGGGTCTTGGCACTTGACGCTCCTCCTCCTGGAGCCGTCTTCCTTCCACAGCCTCAGGGGCTCCTCTCACCTCAGCTTGTGTATAAGTGTGACTGTTCTATTGAAGGCCACACCCCCACTGACCCGTCACTATTCCATTTTTTAAAAATATATTTTATTAATTTTGCCATTACAGTTGTTCTATTTGCCCTCTTCATTCTCCTCCACCCTGCACCCCCCTCCCCCACCATTCCCCCCTTTAGTTTATGACCATGTGTCTCAAGTTCTTTAGATACTGTATTCCCCTACTATTCTTGCCGTCCCCCTATCTACTTTCTGCCTACCATCTATGCTACTTATTTTCTGTACCTTCTCCCCCCTTCTCCTTCTCCCACTTCCCTGTTGCTGACCCTCCATGTTATCTTCATTTCTATGGTTCCACTCCTGATCTAGCTGTCCTCTTAGTTTGCTTTTGTTTTAGGTGTGGTTGTCGATAACTGTGAGTTTGCTATCCTTTCACTGTTCATCTTTTTTATCTTCTTTTTCTTAGGTAAGTCCCTTTAACATTTCATATAATAAAGGGTTTGGTTATGATGAACTCCTTGAATTTGATCTTATCTGAGAAGCACTTTATCTGTCCTTCCATTCTAAATGAAAGTTTTGCTGGATAGAGCAATCTTGGTTGTAGGTCTTTGGATTTCATGACTTGGAATACTTCTTTCCAGCCCCTTCTTGCCTGTAAGGTCTCTTTTGAGAAATCAGCTGACAGTCT